ATCACAAACCGGGGTTTTATCTCCCACTTTGCTTGGAAATTGTGTTGGTGTTAGGGGTATAAGGGGGGAGCCCTAGAAGGGACCCTTCATCTTATTCCCCCTAGATAGCCCATATACCATATATAGTCTCTATGTACCGGAATAAATCTCAAGATAACCCCTTATAAGGGTCCCTCCTTGAGTCCCTTGACAGCTGTTTTCTCCCCAAATTCTCAACCCTACTTGGAGCCGCAGCTATAACTTTACTTTTGAGCCGCCGAGGTCCCATAAGTAGGTCAGAAGTAGAAATATCACTGGGTTATATATATATATATGTATATATATATATGTATATATGTATATATATATATATATCCATGAACCAAGAGTCCCATGTCTCTTGTGATTACGTACTTGGGGCCCCCCCAAGTCCTTAGGGAATACGTTAAGGCCCAAGTATTCCCTATTTACATGGACCCTGAGGGTTTGCTTCTTGTGCTTCGAACCCTGCGCCCACAAACATGCGAAAGAAAACGCCAGCCGAAGAAGCCATAAGCCCCAAACTCCTAAGCCCTCAGCCCTCAGCCCTAAGCCCTAAACCCTAAACCCTAAAACCTAAACTCTAAACCCGAAACCCCAAACCCATAAACCCCTGAACCCCAAACCCCAAAGCCCCGCTTCCCTAAACCTTTAACGCGAAACCCGAAGCCGCACCGCCACGTAGCTGCATGGGTTTTAGCTTTGCGTTCAGGGTTTTGGGTTTAGAGTTTGGGGCTTAGGGTTTAGGGTCTAGGGTTTAGGGTTTAGGGTTTAGGGTGTAGGGATGTCCGCTTGTTTCTGACAGTCGGCTGCGATTGCCACCCCGAAACCCTGGACCCTGAATGTCTGCCTCAGGAGCTCTTTGACCAGAATCGGCAGAAAGTCGGCCTTCTCGCATGGATGGAGGCGCCCTAAAGCCTCAACCCTAAACCCTCAACCCTAAATCTTCAACCCTAGCCTAAACCCTAAACCCCAATCCGGGTTGGGGTTTAGGAGGGCCGAAGGCCTCAGGACAGAGGGAGGGAAAGCCATGCGTTTAGGGTTTGCTTCTCGCTCCGAGCCCTGAACCTAGAACCCTCAACCCTAAACCCTAAAGCCCTAAACCCTAAACCCCAAACCCCAAACCCTAAACCCTAAACCCTAAACCCCATACCCTAAACCCTAAACCCTAAACCCTAAACCCTAAACCCCAAACCCCAAACCCCGGTCTGGGGTTGTTAGGAGTGCAGGGGCTTAAGCGCTCCTGAAACTCAAGGGGCTGAGGCTCGCACCCCTAAGGTTGCCCCCCTAAAAGTTCCCCTTATTGAGGGTTTAGGGTTTAGGGTTTAGGGTTTAGGGTAAGAGTCCCCAAAACCCTGAAATACAACCTTAGGGGTCCAAGGTACAACCCCTTGAAGAGCCAAAAACCCTAAACCTTAAACCCTAAACCCTCCTGCTACCCTGGCAGGCCAATGTCTTCCTGCTTCTGCCCCACGTCGATACCGCTGCGCTACTGGTGGGCGAGACCTTCTTCTTTGGCCAACTGGACCTCTGGGGTTTCGGGTTTAGGGTTCAGGGATTCGGGTTTAGGGTTTAGGGTTTAGTTTAGGGTTTAGGGTGTAGGGTTTAGGGTTTAGGGTTTAGGGTTTAGGGTTTAGGGTTAGGGTTTAGGGTGTAGGGACTACGATGATGATGATGATGATGATGATGATGATGATGATGATGATGATGATGATGAAGATGAAGATGAAGATGAAGATGAAGATGAAGATGATGATGAAGATGAAGATGTTTATGACGGTGATTGTTCTTACTACCACTACTACCACCATTACGGTTACCTGTTGCGATCGCCCCAGGACATTAATGTGTCATTGCTACAGCAACTTCTGGCTCAAGCCGCAGATACCAAGAACTTCGGCTCCTGAGCGGAGCATGGAGTGCAGGTTTTCTGCAGGGGATGAGCCCGATGTGGTCATTCCAGATCCCTACCTATTTCCCCGAGCCCATGGCCTGAGAATTGGAATGCTTAGCACCAATGTGGTGATCAGTGGGGCTTTGCTTTCGTGGGGCGCATGCCCTCGACAGGAGCATCCCCTTGACTTGAGGCAAAGACTCTGTTGTTGGTTTTTCTTCCTCACTTGCTGCGGGGCTGCTTTGGAAGTGCTGGGCACCTCGCTTCTCTCAGAGACTGACGATGCTCCGATCGTTTTGCCCGCGCGCATGATCACTATGGCATCTATTGCTCCGCTACTGGTTGCTGCCAACGGAATGGGGGAGATCATCTGGCCGTCAAGGCTTATAGAGTTCTTAAGGGAGGGGGGTTCAAAGGGGTAGGTACCTAGGGAACCTTAGGGAAGCTTAGGGAGTCTTAGCGAGTAGTAGGGAGTACTAGGGAACTTTGGGTTATCCCTTGAACCCCCCTCCCTTAAGAACCCTATAAAAGGCGTTGGCAGCACATCTGGATCCTGTGCGCTTTATTCCTGCTGGCGGGTTCAGGGGGATTCCTAGCCGTGTCCCTGATATCACCTGATTCAAGCCAGCTGGTCCTGGCTTGCATCATTGCGCTCGGAGATCTCTACACTGCTTGTGTATGGTTTCTGGCCAGCCTGAAACTTAGTGGTAGAGTAGGTAACCTTTGACCTTTTTGGGGGTATTCTAATCCCTATAAACTCCCAAAAGTCCAAGCTTGAATTCCCCCAGGTTACTGGACAACTACTGGCTGGTTCTTAGTAGGGAATCAGGTCGCCACCTTTAGGTGAAGGAAGTCGGAAGTCTGGCCCTCATTCCCTCACTCCCTACAGAAGCAGGGGGACTAATAACCCCTAAACCCTAAACCCTAAACCCTAAACCCTAAACCCTAAACCCTAAACCCTAAACCCTAAACCCTAAGCCCTAAACCCTCTACTAAGAACCAGGGGGACTAAGGAAAGTGAAACTCGAAGGCTGCCTCTGTGGTCGCATTGGAATTCTTGGCCTCCTTTGCCACCTAGCTGCTTCTTGGTAGCTGAGTGGTACCCTTTTGTCCCTTTTCTGGCGGGTTCTTAATTCAGGGAATCAGGGAATCTCTGTAGAAAAATAGCCCAGCCCCAAAAAGGCTGCCCCTTAGAATCATAGGGTTCCTGGGCTACCAAGGCTTATGTCCTCCTCGGGGTGTCGGAGGACCTCTGTGGGCCTCCGGCACATGCGGATTGCTACGCAGCGTGCTTCTGGGGCACGGCTGCCTCACTTCACTACCTCTTCTGGATGATTGGGATGCTCGCAGCCAACAGCTTGATTTGGAGCTTCTTAGCGGTGGATGACCCACTGAAGATTGCGTGGCCCAAGATCTTGTCTTTTCAGCTCTGCAGCCGAAGCTGAGAAGAAGCTTGTTGACCACTGGCCATGGAGGATATACTGTGTGTATATCCATTCTGTTCATACATAAGGTAGGTCCTTGGGACATTTTGTATTTTTCCTTATTGGGTTTAATAGCATCATTGATCATACTTAGGAATATTTTTCAGAGGGTTTAAGGGGCCATCCTAGTACATTAGGATTGAGTTCAGACATGGGCTGCTGAGATTGCGCGCTTCCTTTTCAGGCTTGTTAGTATGTAATGAATACCTGACGGTGCCATGCAGAATTGCAGGCTCACCTTCTGCCAGAGTCGTCTCACCACAAGGGTTGCGATGCCGCACAGGGTTTTTAGGGTTTAGGGTTTAGGGTTTAGGGTAAAACCCAAAACTCTGAGGCACGGAACTTTGGGGGGCAAAAGAGTCTCCAAACCCAAGGGTACAACCTTAGGTGTCCAAGGTAGAGTCTCATGAGGTTTAGGGTTTAGGGTTTAGGGACGCAGACCCACGCCCGCAAACGGTGCCCCCAGGGCAAGGGCCTTCTCGCAGGTCACTGGTGAAGATACTTGGAAGTTCATGGATACTTATATAACCCCAAGTATAAGGCCCTGACCTGAAAGGGTCAGAGTTCTTCGCAAGCCCTCCGATAGGCCCAATCGCGCCTAACAGGCCCGTAGTAGTGAACCCGAAAAACCTAAGTTTCCTGATTAAACCCTAAACCCAAAACCTTAAACCCCAAAAGCCCCAAGGCCCTAAGCAGAATGTCTGACCTCGCGGATGCCCAGAATACCCGCAGTTGAAACACTAAATGATATCATGTCCAGAGTAGCCCCTTTCTTAGAGGCTCCTTGGACTTAGTTGAGGGTTTGGGGTTTAGGGTTTAGGGTTCGGGGTTAGGGTTTAGGATTTGGGGTTTAGGGGCATACTTAGAATCTCCTTGGACTTAGTAAGTCTACTTAGTATCCCTCAGAAGCCCTTTTGTAATCCCCAGAACCTACGTTATTAACTACTTCCTAAGTCAGAGCTTCCAAGTATTCCCTTTTTGTAGATTCCCTATAAGCACATACGCGGAAAAGGGCACCCTTTTTGCTCCTAGGTTACTCTTGGGTCTAGTGAGTCTAGTGTACTGTGTACTGTATCAGATATTGTCCTATATAGTATACTACACATTGTATAGCCTACGTGCTGTATAGTGACCAAGCCATGGCGGGGTATGAGAGATAGAAGAAGATCGACCATTCGTGTTTAGTTCACTGGGCTTAGGTCGCAGAAGGCTGGAGCTATTCGTGTTCGGACTATTGGTTTCGGGTTTCGGGTTCAGGGTTTCAAGTTTAGGGTTTTGAGTTTAGGGTTCGTACACAGCGGTTCTGCACGAATGTGCCAAAGAGAATATGCTTAAGTGCCTTTTTTGCTAGCATGGCGTTGTCTAGTTGTTCAAGGCTCCGGCTGTCGGATCTAGGGTGCAGTGGAAGTAACCTCGTAGAGAGTGTTAGTGATATGGTCGCCCAGCAGCTGTTGTGGAGCAGATTGAAGCTTAACGGTCCGAAGATGTCGACAACAGCAGCCTTTTCGGTTAGTGATGCTTACTCCTCTCCCCGCTCCTCGCGTTTATTTGGCTGTATAGCGTAGATGGTACACAAGCCACATTGAGTATCGATCAAAGCAGATATGTTAGCCAGGTGTAGCTCGAGGCTGTACTTGCGCATCATGAATATGGATCTTCGTCTCGAAGGCGAGGGCAAGTTCTGGGAGATTGTGCAGCAAGGCCAGAGAACCATTTCGGCTTTTGGAAAGCTGGGCAGCGCGGGCAGAACGGACAGTCATATACACTATCAGGTCGATGCGGCCACGAAGTTCGCAGAGAGCAAAGTGAAAGAGAAAACCAGAAAGGGCTACAAGAAGTGCGGCAAGGCAAAGGTGTGCCCGGCATTCTTGAAGCCGAAGTATTCCAAGGACTTCGTGCAGGACTTAGATGACCCAAAACAGCAGCTGCATGCATCTCGCATCCCGAATTTGCAGTTAATTATCCGTCACGTGCTGTGCATTCCGAGTGAATCTGTGCGCTTCGCGCGTACGTGTGTGTCAGTGTGTTTGTGTGTGTGTGTGTTCGCATGTCAGTGGAGCATCTAAGGTGGAGGGCACCATCACTAAGGCCAAAAATATCAGTCCAAAAGGCATGGCTTACGAGTGCGAAGCCCAGACTGCTTGCAAAGCCAGGGGGGACTGCAAAGGGTACTTCGAGCATGTGGGTTACGATGGCTACCCCACCTATCACCTCTTGGCTCCTGGTACGGAGACTTGGAAGAAAGGCTCCCACACAGGCCTTGTTGCATCTGTAAGAGTGAAAAAGGAAGGTGCGAAGGCAGTTGCGGCGGCAAAGACATCTGAAGCAGCCGGTCATGGTCCGAAGAAGCCAGTGATGAAGGTCTTGAAGAAACCAGCAAAGTGCTAACTCCAGCCTGCGCAGGCTGTTAGCATCCGTCGCAGTGGCGGGGAAGAGCTCTGGAATAAACAGCTGCAGTATCAGTAGTAGTAGTCGTCGTAGTAGAGGTAGTAGTCGTCGTCGTCGTCGTCGTCGTCGGAGCAGCAGCAGCAGCAGCAGCAGCAGCAGCAAGAGGAGGAGTAGTAGTCGTCGTCGTCGTGGTCGTCGTCGTCGTCGTCGCCGCCGCCGTCGTCGTCGTCGTAGTAGTGGTAGCAGCAGTAGTAGTGGTAGCAGCAGTAGTAGTGGCAATAGTACCAGCGCTGCAAGCAGGAGCTGCAAAGGTAGTAGTGGCCCTAAATCCTAAACCTAAACCCTAAGCCCTTAACCCTTAACCCTCAAACCCTAAACCGCCCTAAACCCTAAACCCTATACGCAAATGTGGTAGCAGTAGTGGTGGACCCTTCGTCCCGTGCAGGAAGTGCGCCAACATCTGCGAGGCACGTGCGCGGAAGTTACCGTTGAGGGCCCAAGACTGGTGTAGGTGTCAGGGCTTTGAGTTGAGGGTTTTGGGAACCTTTTGGGAGTATTTAGGTGACGTTACAATGGTCTAAGGGCACGGGTTGAGAAGTAGTAAGGGCTTGGGGTACCTCCTTTGCCTGGGAAGGTGTCTGTCTTGTTTTCGCTTAGGTTTTTTTGGATTTTCCTTGCGCCTAAACCCTACACCCTAAACCCTACACTCTGCACCCTACACCCTAAACCCTAAACCCTAAACCCTAAACCCTAAACCCTGAACCCTAAACCCTAAACCCTAAACCGTAAACCCTAAACCCTAAACCCTAAACCCTAAACCCCAAAACCCTAAACCCTAAACCCTAAACCCTAAACCCTAAACCCTAAACCCTAAACCCTAAACCCTAAACCCTAAACCCCAAACCCTCAACCCTCTTTTTGCAGATCCTCCGAGGAGTGAAGAGAAGGGCCATCTTCGGAGCCTATGAAGGGAAGCCTTCAACGGGATACAACCTTAGGGGTCCGAGTATGACTCCCTTTATGCACCCACCCTAAGCCCTAAACCCTAACCCCTAACCCCTAAACCCTAAACCCTAAACCCTAAACCCTCAGCCCGAATAGCCCTAAACAGAGCCCTAAGAGCCCTAAGAGCCCTCAGAGCCCCAAGAGTCCGAAGAGCCCTAAGAGTTGTAGGGCCCAGAGCCACATGGCTTTGATGTCAACCGATACCCTAAACCATCCTCAGTTCTCGTAAGTAGGGTTTAGGGTTTGGGGTTTGGGGTTTAGGGTTTAGGGTTTAGTGCTTAGGGTTTAGGGTTTGCGGTTTGGGGTTTGGGCTTAGTCTTGGAGCCCTCAACCCTAAACACTGAACCCCAGGACCCTGAACCCTAAAACCCTGAGCCCTAAAACCCAAAACCCTGAACCCTAAACCCTAAACCCTGAACCCAGTGTGGCCACCAGGCTCTGACTGGACCTGGCGCTCCTACTATTTCGCGCAGCCCGGCCGAGAGAGCGGAAGCTTTTCCTTTTCTTTTTGTTTAGGGTTTAGGGTTTAGGGTTTAGGGTTTAGGGTTTAGGGTTTGGGGTTTGGGGTTTGGGGTTTAGGTCGTCTCCAACTTGAACCGTAGACCATATTCTGGCGGCCGGAAAACTGACTACTAGCCTTCCCTTATTGGGCCGATATATTTATTTCTGCGGTACTAACCCCCCAAATTCCTATTCTACTTGTGACGGCCCCTGGCTTACATATCCTCAAGCCCTAAGCCCTAAGCCCTAAACCCTAAAATCCTGAACCCTAAAAACCTAACCCCTAAACCAAAGGGGGCTTCAGCGAAACCCTAAATGAACCCTGTAGAAGGGGGTAGTCGGGAAACCCATGAACACAGAGGTGGAAGCAATGTAACCCAAAGCACTTTCTCAGGGCTTGGAAAGCCCAGAAGCGCCCTTGTCATTGTGGAAGGGCATAGGGTTTAGGGTTTGTATTGTGAGGTCGAGGGTTCATATTACCACTATTGTTGGATGTAAATACGGCGAGTGTGTGGATTGGGTGCTCTTTTGGGCGTACTTGTCATAAAAACCGCGGATGGTCCTGCCCTTGCCACTGTTCGAGGGGTTTGTGGCCAAGGGTTGAAGGCTTGTAAACCTATCTCAACAACTTGGGGTCCCCAAACCCTCAACCCTAAATAAACCCGAAGCCCTTCTTTTCTTGCCATGATTAACGTCCCTAAACCCTAAACCCTAAACCATAAACCCTAAACCCTCAACGTATCCAAACAGGGACAACCTCCCCAAAACCCCTCTCAACCCGAAGCCCAAACCCCACTAAGCCCTAAACCTCCTTAGACCCCCTATACCCTAAACCCTAAACCCCAAACCTTAAACCCTGAACCCTAAACCCTAAACCCCTATAAACCCTAAACCCTAAGCCCTAACCCCGAAACCCTAAACCCCAAACCCTAAACCCTAAACCCTGATTCTGCAAGTCCAAAAAGGCTGAAAAGCGGCCCCATCGCGGCTCGGAAGCTTGTCTGGTGTCCCTCGGCAGACTTAACGCAACTCTTCGAGGGATTCCGGGCTTAAGGTGTTGAGGTTTAGGGCTTAGGGCTTAGGGCTTAGGGCTTAGGGCTTAGGGTTTAGGGTTTAGGGTTTAGGGTTTAGGGTTTAGGGTTAGGGTTTAGGGTTTCGGGTTTAGGGTTTAGGGTTCAGGGTTTAGGGCTTAAGGCTTAGGGTTCAGGATGAGGGTTGAGGGTTTAGGGGTCCTCCTCAGGGTTAGGGCTTAGGGTGAGCGTCTTTCGTGCAGTTAAGATTCGGAGGATTATGCTTAAACCCTAAACCTAAAGCCCAAAGCCTAAACCCATTACGTGTTGTTTTTGTGGGCAGCAGAAGAAGTTTGGCGAATGACTCTTCAACAAGCAGTGCACCCTCACATAGCTCTTATGATGTCTAAGGGAAGTTGCATGGACCCTTAGTATGGTCCCCCACTTTCAAGGTTCTGAAGTATGAGCCCCTGGGTTCTGTAGAGTGTATAAGTAGGGTTTAGGGTTTAGGGTTTAGGGTTTAGGGTTTAGGGTTTAGGGGTATTTAAGGGGTCCCCAAGTAAGGGCCAATACTAGGGGACCGCGTAACTACCCCAAGATGATGGGTTAGGTATAAGTGTCCATCGCTCTGAGTACCCTGATCCAGCCCGTGTCGAATCCTTGAACCCAACAAGCTGCCCCCATTCGACCCAACGCTCCCAACACCCGAAATCCTAAACCCTGAGCCCCAAACCCTAAACCCTAAACTTCCAAGCCCTCAGCTCCTCTCTTTTTCCTGATGTTCACCCCGCCCTCTTCCCTCCACAAACAAGGTTTAGGGTGTAGGGTTTGGGGTTCGCAAAGCAGTGAAGTGCAATACTGGGCAGGACCTTGGTTTTAGTGCCCCGCCTTTTTCCTTATTACGGACTGTTCGTATAAGGGGGAACATCCCAAGTGATGTATGATCTTTTTTTGCCTTATGTTCATTTACGTATATATATATATATATATATATTATTCCCAAAGTTTTTCATCCCAGTTCAATATTCCAAAGGGGGATCCTTGAGTCCCTTAATCAGAAGAAGGCTCCTAAACCAAAACCCTAAATCCTAAACCCTAAACCCTAAACCCCAAACCCTAAACCCTAAACCCTAAACCCCAAACCGCAAACCCCAAACCCCAAACGTGTCCCGACTGGCCAAAAAAGTAGGCAAGCGGCCCACCGACGAGCTTTGCGCGGGGATCGTTCCTGTGCTGCTTGCCTTTTAGGGTTTAGGGTTTAGGGTTTAGGGTTTAAGGTTTCAGGTTTAGGGCTCTGGATGCGCGTGTTTCCCGGCGACCCCGAGATTCCTTGAATGGAAGAAGGCTCCTGAATCTCTAAGACCCAAACCCTAAGCCCTAAATCCTAAGCCCTAAGCTTGAGCCCTAAGCCCTAAGCCCTAAGCCCTAAGCCCTAAGCCCTAAACCCTTAATGCCCTTAATACCCTGAATACCCTTGATACCCTTAATACCCTCAATACCCTTAATACCCTAAACACACCCGAAGCCCTAGACCCTCCCTAAACACAGGGCGTCCTAAGCTGCCTTAAGCCCTAAGCCCTAAACCCTAAACCCTAAATACCCAAAATGCCCTAAGTACCCTGAATACCCTGAATACCCTAAATACCCCAAACCCTTAACCCACAAGGCATCCTAAGCTGCCTTAAGGAAGCTTCCCTGATTCGGGAAGCCGTGGGTCTCTGAGTTGAAACGGGTAGTAGGGTTTAGGGTTTGGGGTTTGGGGTTTAGGGTTTGGGGTTTAGGGTTTAGGGGGACCCATGCGATCTGACGCATAAGTGGCCAGTCCAAAGCAAGGATTTCGGGGTTTCAGGTTTAGGGTTAGGGTGTAGGGTTTAGGGTGTAGGGTTTAGGGTTTAGGCTTTAGGGTTTAGGGCTTCGGGCTTAGGGCTTAGGGCTTAGGGTTTCCTTGACCCTGAAGCCTGAACCCTGAACCCTAAGCCCTCTTTGATGATTGCGAAGGCACACCGTGCGATCGGTTCAAGCTTGGTTTAAAAGGACCACTGGGGTGGTTCTGGAGCATAGTTCTGGAAGCCTTTCTCCCGTCCCCTTTGTACGTGGTCTCGTAGAACGAGCAGCCTAACACTCCAACCATGAACCCTGAATCTTCAGTGCACTGGCCACATGTTCAGTCCTTTAACGAGCACCTTCCAAGCAAAGTAGCTTCTTAGGGTTTGGGGTTTAGGGTTTAGGGTTTACGGTTTAGGGTTTAGGGCTAGGGTTTAGTGGCGGACAGAGAAAGCCATGCCCGCGAAGAAGTTGCCCCCCAAAGCGGCCGCACCGGCAGCCAGCACGGTCAGTGCGAAGGCCCAAGAGGGCCTGTGGTTCAGGGCTTTTGGGAGGTTTAGGGTTTGGGGTTTAGGGTGTAGGGTTTAGGGTTTGGGGTGGGGGGCTTCGGGCTCGGCTTTGGGTTTAGGGTCCGGGGCTTCTGGAAGGGCGGGACGATGTTTGGTGGAGGTTGACAGGCTTTATCTCAAGTGACAAGCTGCAATCGAACACCCTAAGCACTAAACCCTAAACCCGAAAATCAGCATTACCTGGAGCCGACCTGATATGAAGCAGGGTTTATATTTCTGTTTTTGGTGAGTGTCAATAAGGTTCCTTTTTAATATTGGTGAGTGTATATGTTTGGTGTCCTGTTTGGGGTACAAGAAATATATACCCTAGTTCATATGTACAGATATGAGGTCCTGAAGGGAGGTCCGGGTTTAGGTTTAGGGTTTAGTGTCTTTGATTATATATATATATATATATATTTTTTTTTTTTGGGGGGGGGGGATCCGGGGGTGTTGGTTTAAATCCTAAACCCTAAACCCCAAAACCTAAACCCTAAGTCCTAAACCTTAAATCCTAAGTCCTAAACCCTAAATCCTAAGGCCTACGCACCCTAAAACTCGAACCTTGGCTCCAAGCCTAAACCCCCAGGCCCCAGACCCCGAAAGTCCACACCCTAAACTCTGGACTCTAAATCCTAAAAACCCTAAGCCCTAGAGCCTTAACCTTACTTACCTATCCCTTATTTACACAGGCAACAAGAAACGGTTTCAGAGGCTGGCTAGAGTGCCCTCGCCGTCCCGAAATCTCTGCTGTGTTCAGTTTAGGGTTTAGGGTTTAGGTTTTAGTGTTTAGGTTTCAGTATTTAGGGTTTGGGGTTTAGGGCTCAACATTTCAGGGTTCAGGGTTCGGGGTTCGAGGAGGTCGCTTGTGACAAACAGGAGGCGTTCTGGAACACCCTCGACGAGGAGGATGCAAAGTTGCTGGCTGGCATTTAGGGTTTAGGGTTTAAGGTTTAGAGTTTGGGGGGGGGGGTTTGCCCTAAACCCTAAACCCTAAACCCTAAGCTCTAAATCCTAAACCCTAAACCCCAAACCCCAAACCCGAAACCCTAAGCCCAAAACCCTAAACCCTAAACCGTTTTGGGGGGGTAAGGAGGGAAAGAGGGAGGTTTTCACCTCCTTTTCCCATCCAACACGCCGCCAGGGTCGGCGGACCCTGAACCCTGAACCCTAAACACTAAACCCTAAACCCTAAACCCTAAACCCTAAACCCTAAACCCTAAACCCTAAACCCTAAACCCTAAACCCTAAACCCTAAACCCTAAACCCTAAACCCTAAACCCTAAGGTTTTTTTGGGGGGATCTTCCGTTGAGGGTCGCCTGCGGTTTGGGGTCTAGGGCATTCAGGGTGCAGGACAGCCTTCTTGCCTGGAACGTGCCTGGGGAGGCCCTTTGCCTTCCTTTGCGTTCTTTTTGCTGGCATCCGTCGCCTGCAAGCGCGATTCCAGCTGGGCTCACTTGGCGTGTCAGAGGTACTTCGAAGCCGACTTGTGTGGCCCAAAGTCAAGCTGAGCTGTGACTCATGGGGTTGGAAGCCCATCCGCAGGACACTCTGTCCCAAGGGAGACAGACCATGAGGAGATGTTACGTGCTGGAGTAGGAGTCTAGGGTTCAGGGTGTAGGGTTATTCTGTCCGTCCCTCAACGGTGTGCAAAGGCTCATGACCTGTAGTATACGGAACAGTAAAGGGATGTTTGGGGCTGTTTCACTAGGACTGGCACGGATTCTTAAGGCTTCTTTGGCCACGTTAACAACCCTAAACTTTAATCCCTAAACCCTAAACCCCAAACCCTTAACCCTAAATAATCTGGGGTCTTCCCTGGGATCCTGTGATCAGCGGTAGGGGGCCTTCTTCCCTGCGCAAACAGGTGGGTTTGGGCTTCAGGGTTTTAGGTTTGGGGGTTTTAGGGTTTTAGGGTGTTTTCTTCTTGCTTGGAGTTGGGCCCTAAACCGTATAAACCCCGGGTGCCCCCAAGGCTTTTTTCAGGCGGATTTCATTGAGGATGGGGTCTGCACGTATGCAGGGCCCCTTCAAGCGATTTCTGGCCCAGACCAAGGTTACCCTGACCCCAAAACCCTAAACCCTAAACCCCAAACCCTAAACCCTAAACCCCAAACCCTAAACCCTAAACAGGTGTTTCTGGGCCTCCCGGGTGTAGTTCTGCGGGTGGGTGCGGCCGAAGCAGGCCGGGTGGGGGTTTTGAATTGCGCTCTTCATCAGCCTCTACTCCCGAAGCAGGGGCTCCAGGGCCGAGAAGCCGTAAACCCTGAGCCGGTTTAGGGTTTAGGGTTTAGGATTTAGGGTTTAGGGTTTAGGGTTTAGGGTTCAGGGTTTAGGGTTTAGGGTTTAGGGTTTAGGGTTCAGGGTTTAGGGTTTAGGGTTTAGGGTTTAGGGTTCAGGGTTTGGGGTTTAGGGTTTAGGGTTTAGGGTTTAGGGTTTAGAGTTTAGAGTTTAGAGTTTAGGGTTCCTGAAGAATTAGAATATGTTTTTTTGGGAGGGGGGAGGGTGGGTGATGATAGTATAATTACAATATAGGGTTTAGGGCTTCGGGCCCTGCACCCTGAACCTAAACCCTAATCAGGGGCATAGCGGTTCCCGGGGCCATTGCCGAGGATCGCCAAAGCGTGGGACTGCTCGAGCCAGGAGCATCTCGACAAAGTAAAGGCGAAGAAGAAGGACTCGCAGGGCCATTGCATGTGCACGTGAGTGTGTGAGTGTGAGCGTGTGAGTGTCAGAGTGTGTGTTTTTTTCAGTGTGAGTGTGAGAGTGGGAGTGTGTGTGTGTGTGTGAGAGTGAGGCACTGGGCTTACGATGATGTGTCATTTCTTCACCCTGCGCACCCCACCTTATACCCCTTTACCACCTTATACCCCTTCTACCACCCTTCAACCCCCCCGCCCCCCTGAAACTTGCCAGGCACTCATTAGGGGTTCGGGTTCAGGGCAGTGAAATCTCATCGAACACGACTTGTCCAACAAATTTTGAGGGTCGAGTTTAATATCCCCAAGCCCCTAAACCCCTAAACCCCAAACCCTTAACCCAAGAATCCTGAGCCCTAAACCTTGTGCAACCGCTTCGCAGGCTGATGAGCAGAAAGCCAAAACCCAGCAGTACTACGACCTCAAGAAAGCTGAGCGCAACCAGCAGTGGGAGAAGGACCCTCCTCTACCATAAACTTGAACAGTAAGCCTGAACCTAAACCCTAAACCCTAAACCCTAAACCCTAAACCCTAAACCCTAAACCCTAAACCCTAAACCCTGAACCCTGAACCCTGAACCCTAAACCCTAACCTTGGAGCCCTAAGCAGTAGCCCCAAATCCTAACCCCCAAACCCGAAGTCCCCAAACCCGAAGTCCCCAAACCCTAAACCCTAAACCCTAAAACCCTGAAACACTAAAACCCTAAAAAAGCCTGAATGCCGAAAGCCCTAAAGCCCTAAACCCTAAAACCCTAAACCCTAAATTTTGAAGGAAGAACAGAAGAAGCAACGCGAGAAGGCGCGGGAGGAGAGCCACCTGGCAAGTTAAGGGACTGGGAGTTGAAGATTCAGAGGGTTTCGGGTTTAGGGTTTAGGGTTTCGGGTTTCGGGTTCAGGGATTCGGGTTTATATAAGGTGTAGGTTCAGGGATTCGGGTTTGGGGTGTAGGCTTTAGGATTTCGGGTTTCAGGGTTTAGGGTTTCGGGTTTAGGGCTGACCCTGAACCCTAAAGAGCCCAAACCCTAAACATCGAAACCGGAACCCGAACGCCCTCCAGCTAAACCCCTGAATCCCTAAACCTTCAACCCTACACCCTGGACCTCTCAACCCCTAAACCCTGAACCCCTAACGCCTCTGGAGTAACTATTGGCGTGATTTAGGGTTTGGAGGAACTATTGGCTGATTTAGGGTTTAGGTTTTAGGGTGTAGGGTTTAGGGATTAGGGCTTCTTTTTCTTCACGTCGACCCCTTCCGAAGTTCAGGGCCTCGGGAATATGCTGGGACCCTGAAGTAGGGTTGGCATGCCAAAAAAAGAGACGCCGACGGAGAACTGCATGTAATCAACTGTCAGGCCTAAACCCTAAACCCTAAAGCCTGAAGCCTAATGCCTAAAGCCTAAAGCCTAAAGCCCAAAGCCCAAAGCCCAAAGCCCAAAGCCCAAAGCCCAAAGCCCAAAGCCCAAAGCCCAAAGCCTAAAGCCTAAAGCCTAAAGCCTAAACCCTAAAGCCTAAACCTTAAACCCTAAACCCTAAACCCTAAACCCTAAACCCTAAACCCTAAACCCTAAACCCTAAACCCTAAACACTGACCCGGCCCGGCCGAGTCCTGTGTTTTGCTTGTTGAGTCGAGAGGGTCTTTTTTTTTTGAAATATGTTTCAGGGAGTGTAAAGGCGCAGTCTAGTTCACTACCAAACTCATGGGGGCCAGTTCAAACCGCAGCGAAACAGCCCAGGCAACAGGAGCCACCCAAATCCTAAACCCTAAGCCCTAAGCAGCCCAGGAAAGCAGGAAGAAGAGTTTGAGAAGACACTTGGCCGAAGGAATTGCCAGCTTTTTCTGGCCTGGTGGGAACACAAGCAATGGCAGGATTTGGGGGCTTTGGTAGCTTGTTGTATTGGTATCATAAGCTGACTGATTACTTCAGACTAGCGACATTCAGAGACCTAGACTGGGCACAGAAATTCGAACCCACGGATTGTAAAGATCTATATGGCTTGTGGGGGCTGATAAAGTTCATAGGGTTTGTAGGGTATGTATCATGGACCCAAAGGAGGCACCCCGTATAAGGGACCTTAAGGGTTATTTAGGTGCAGAGGGACTATATGACGTATGCATATATATCTTTATCTTAATCTTTATCTTTATCTTTTACCTTTTATCTTTTACCTTTTATCTTTTATCTTTTATCTTCATCTTTATCTTTATCTTTTTGTTCAGATTTCTTTATATTTATGTATATATATATAGCTGTTCTACATGAGTTATATACGGGAAGAAGATGAAGGGTCCCTTCTAGAGGTCCCTCCTTATGCCCCTTCAAAATGTACGGTCCATGGGTGCCTAATGTAGGGGTCGGCATAATTACTAGTAATGTGCCCTTATGGTTCCTTTGTAGCTATACTATAATGAACCCCCCCCCCAAAAAAAAATAGAAAGAACTCATTGTTCAGGAGCCCTAAACCCGAAACCCGAAACCCGAAACCCTAAACCCTAAACCCTAAACCCTAAACCCTAAACCCTCAACCCCAAACCCCAAACCCCAAACCCGCCTTTTGTAGCGGGTGGCACAAGTGCATCTCTCGAGGGTCAAGAAGCGCGCCTTTGCCGAGAAAGTGGTGGAGGCGCGGCGCTAACAGGGGGGGTGTACGAAGACAGGGAGAGTTTAGGGTTCAGGGTTTTGAGTTCTGGGTTGAAGGTTTAGGGTTTAGGGCTCCATGGGGTTTACGAAAGTAGGGGACCCCAAATATTCCCCACACAGTGGGATTCCCTGTCGTGAACCCCATATGTCCCGAAATCTTAACTTAAGCCTAAACTCGGGATGCTCCGCCCTTATACTGGCACTAGCCCTAGTATAATCCCTATTCAGGACTGCTAGTAGAAGCTAAGACCCCCCTAAACCCTTAATTAGATTCTAAGGGAAGTTACACAGTCCCTTAAGGTTTAGGGTTTAGGGTTTAGGGTTTAGGGTTTAGGGTTTAGGGTTTAGGGTTTAGGGGTCCCTTGCCTTCTATAGGCCCTTGGTTTCAAAGGGTTTCTATGGGGTAAATGAAAGTTCCCCAATTAAGGGCCCATATTAAGGGGCAAAATGTAGCTACCCTAAGATAAATCCTAAACCCTAAACCCGAACTTGACCTTGAGGTCTAAAGCCTCAGCCCTAAACCCTAAACCCTAAACCCTAAACCCTAAACCCTAAACCCTAAACCCTAAACCCTAAACCCTAAACCCTAAACTCTAAACCCTAGAAATTTCAGCCCTCATGCCGCCATGCCTTGCTCTCAGGCCGTCTGGTACGACGACAACAAGTGCTGGGCAGCGTGGTTGCGCGAGGGTTTGGGGTTTAGGGTTTAGGGTTTAGGGTTTAGGGTTCAGGGTTTGGGGTCCAGGGTTTGGGGTTTAGGGTTTAGGGTTGGCCCCTGATGTGTAGGTCACCCTGACCCACACCCTAAGTTCTAACCCAACTCAGAGAAGTGGCTACGTGGGCTTGGCGAGATGTTCAAGAATGTCCCCGAAGGCTGCTTGTATGCACTGGTTCTTTTGAACCTCGGGTTGCGCATTTTTGAGGTTTAGGGTTTAGGGTTTAGGGTTTAGGGTTTAGGGTTAAGGGTTGGGCCTTGCTAGGGTTCAGGGTTCAGGGTTTCAGGGTTGATGTATAAGGGTTTATGGTCAGGGCTGAGGGTTCGGAAGTGTTTCAGCATGCATGCACAGAGCGGAAGGGTCTTGTCCAGAAAGAATCAATAGTATTTGCAAGTGTTAGTAGTAAGGACAGCCGTAATACTACTGATCCTTATGAGTATCAATCTGTACAGGTCCCTGAATTGAGCCTTCAAGAGTGTAAAGGGTGCCCAATTCAAGCCGTGCACCTGCTTAAGAGTGTAGAGTTTGGGGCCGTAGGGTTTAGCCGAGGGATACTATATTACAGGGACCTCAGCATACCTCGCCCTAAACCCGAAACCCGAAACCCGAAACCCGAAACCCGAAACCCTAAACCCTAAACCCTAAACCCTAAACCCCAAACCCCAAACCCTAAACCCTAAGCCCTAAGCCCCAAACCCTCGGAGCACCAGTCAAATCTTCTTCTAGCCGAGGCACAGATCAGCCCTGGAACGTGGAAGGTGCGAGCTTTTCGGAAAGCGGTAAGGCCCTAACTCCTAAGCCCCGAACATTCGGTTCAGGGTTCAGGGTTTAGGGTTTTAGGTTTAGGGTTTAGGGTTTAGGGTTTAGGGTCTAGGGTTCAGGGTTTAGAGTTTGTTCGGGTTGAGGGGAGTCGGTTACAGAGTAGAGAGTAAGGCCTACTAGTCGGAGAGCCCCACGTGATCTTCATAAGGCGGTATTTCCCAAATGGGATACCCCGTAAAAAGCCCCTAACCCTAAACCCTAAACCCTAAATACTACATTTTGAGCCGAAGGAGCTCATCCAAGAAAGGACTCTACAGCTACACCCAAAAACCACAAACCTAAACCTTAACCCCAACCCCCCCCCCCCCCCCCAAAAAAAAAAAACAATAATAATACAAAAGCAAAAACAAACAACCTGAAGCCCTCAACCTTAGACCCTAAACCCAAAAAACCCTAAAACCCTAAACCCTAAACCCTAAAACCCTTGAGCCCACGTGTGGCACAGGAGGTCCAGGGGGAGTTCTTCTGCACTTTGTGCGAGAAAAGCCCCAACGGCTCCTCACTTGAGGGGCATCTCAACAGCGAGGCCCACAAGAAGAATCTTGGCTTCGGGCTTAGGGTCTAGGGTGTAGGGCTTAGGGCTTCGGCTTTACCGTTTAGGGCTGAGGGCTTGGGGGATTTAGGGGTTTAGAGTTTCGGGTTTTGAGATCCTGGAGGCCTAAACCATACACCCTACACCCTAATGAGATGATTGTAATAGCCGAATCGGGATTAGGGGGTCAGGTCCTGCCTTCAGGGCTCAAACCCGCAAGCCCCTAAGCCAGAAAACCCCAACTCTTGAGGGTATTGAAGGATTGGAGTCGCCTGGCACAAGGATGTACAAGGCCTGTTAGGGTTTAGGACTTAGGGCTTTACCAACCCTAAGCCCTCAACCTCTTCTACTTGCCAGCTCATATCGCCATCCTGAATCTGGTTTCGGGTTTAGGGTTTAGGTTTAGGGTTTAGGGTTTAGGGTTTAGGGTTTAGGGTTTAGGGTTTAGGGTTTAGGGTTTAGGGTTTAGGGTTTAGGGTTTAGGGTTTAGGGTTTAGGGTTTAGGGTTTAGGGTTTAGGGTTTAGGGTGTAGGGCCGATGCTCCAGTGACCGACGCTGCCTTATGAGGTTGGGGGGTTAGAGTTGGCAAGCGATGCCGAGGTCCAAGAAGCCAAACCCCCCCCCCCCCTTTTTGGTTTTTTTTTTAACCTTTAGGGCTTTAAGGCTTCCCCCATTTCCCCCCTTTGACCCTTCCCCCCTTGCCCTTCCCTTCCCCCCCTCCCCCCGCAGCGTGGTGTGGTAGTGGGGTTTTGGGGTTTAAAGTATTTAGGGTTTAGGGTGTCATGAGGGTTTGGGGGATTAGGGCTGAAGTCGTGTTTCAGGGCATATGGCATATATATATATAGCTTTACGGATTCGGGTTCAAAAAGAGTACTCATGACTTAAAAAGCAAGGAAGTTGGCCTGGGCCACGGGCACCGGATACACGGCGGCGCCGGCCGCCGCAGCCCCAGCCGCGCCCCAGCTCTGCTTGCCGTGCCCGCCAACGCCCGCGGCGCCTGGGACTGAAGCCCTGCAGTGGCAGGGCCTTGGGTTGTGGGTTCTGGGCGTGTTTTGCGGGCTTGGCGAGGGTTTAATGCTTAGGGTTTAGGGTTTAGGGGTTGGGTGATTTTTCTCCTCCACTCTCCAAATATGCCAATATTGAAGTCTTAACAAAGGGGATGGACCAGAGGATACGAATCTCTTAACATCGTTTGAGAACGATTAATCCCCTCCCCCGAATATTACCCCCCCACCCCCCCCGGGCTACCCCTCTAATATTAAATGCCCCCAGTTTAGTCATATTGAAGTTTTTGTTTGGGGGTCGGGGGGGGGGGGGGGGTGGGATTTCATATTTGGGGGTTGGGGGCAAGAGGCTTAATATTTCCGGGAGGGGACTGCCGTTCAGTGTGCCTGAACCAGAAAGCCCTCAACGTGAACCCCGTTGCATCGTCACCTTCGTTGCCATCGCTGTCGTCAATAAACTTGGTGTCCGGTCTCCCGTCTCGCTTTCTGTCTTTGTGCCACTTGAGCCTCTTGCTGTTGTTTTAGCTGTTGTCCCAAGTTTTGTTCCCTAGCAAACCTCTTGCTTGCTCTCCTCTGGTGCATCTGTCTCCTGGTCTCGGTAACCCTTTGTTGGTGCTAGTACATTGACTTTTTCCAATAAACTGGAGTCTTCAACATCGATCAGAACTACAGTGTCTTGTTTTCCGTCGTAGAACAGGAGTGGCATTTTCGCAACCTCAGATCGGGGGACTTTTTCTCTTGTTTCTTTCGGTCGAGAGGTTGCCATTCAGAGAAAAATATAAAATGAAAACTAAACAAAAAAGAGGGTGGCTGCTTGACTTACAACCTGTCGTTCCATGGCTTATGACGACACCTGTCCAGTATTGTGAAAACTACCAAACTATCCCCACGCTACATACCATATTTCAGAAATCCAGTAGCTGTACTTTTGTCTCATTGTATTAACGTATTTAATTTTCGGCGTAATACCAGAATGGCACAAAATACTTTTTTCTTTACCCATAGAACAAGTACCTATGAACCTTCCAGTCCTAGACCCAAAGCCCAAAACCCAAAGCCTAAAGCCTCCAAAACCCCAAACCCGAAACCCTAAACCCCAAAACGCTGCACCTCCCTAAACCCGAATAAGCCCGGCGCTGCGTGCCCCTTGTCCGGGCCACTCGAAGGGTCACGGACAGATATAAGTAGGCTTTATAGGTTTAAGACAAGGGTTTACTAGTTACCTCAAATCCAGGTATAGCCAGGTAGACGTTAGAATGGCCGTGCTTAGAACCGCACTTATACCTGCGCATGGACCAGGGTGTTTAGGGTTTAGGGTTTAGGGTTTAGGGTTTCGGGTTTATGGTCTTAAACTCACGGGAACCCTCATCTGGGGCTCTATGATAAAGGTTTTGGGAGGGCCAGGGGCGGCGGGGTGCGCGTCTAGGGGGGTTTAAACCCAAAACTGTCTTCAACCGCAAGCTTTCCAACCCTGAGCCCCAAACCCTCAACCCTAAACCCTAAACGTCCTACATCCTATACCCTAAGCCTTCCTAAACCTCCCAAATCCTAAGACTCCCGCGCCCGGAGGATTTTCCCTGAACCCTAAACCCTAAACCCTAAACCCTAAACCCTAAACCCTAAACCCTAAACCCTAAACCCTAAACCCTAAACCCTAAACCCTAAACCCTGAACCCTAAGCACTAAACCCCAGAAAGGATCTTCCATCCTGGCAGCAGATGGGCCCCGATGGCCTTGTCCGGTGCCTCCCCTGCGGCAAGGCCGAAACCGTCTGAAGCCTTCAAAGCCACCAAGAGCCCCCTAAACCTTAAACCCTAAACCCGAAACCCTAAACCCTAAACCCTAAACCCTAAACCCTACACCCTAAGCCCTAAGCCGAAAGCCCTAAACCTTAAACCCTGGACTCTAAACCCTAAACCATAAATCCTTTGTTAGGGTTCAGGGCCGAGGGTTCAGGGCTTAGAGTTCAGGCGCAGGGTTTAGGGTTCAAGGCTTCGGGTTTCGATCGATGCGTTGTTATTCTGTGCCTTGTCTCGCAAAGAGAAGATGACAACCCGTATGTTTTTTCGTAATCTTATGAGATTCTATGGGTGGGTGGATATTTCCGTTACACGAACACACTTGCTGGCCTAGTGAATGCTTGGACTTGAGATGTTGAACCCTAAGCCCTAAACCCCTAAACCCTAAACCCCAAACCCGAAACCCTAAAGCCTAAACCCTAAACCCCCTCCCCCCCTTTAAACCCTTAAACCCTAAACTCCGGAGCCCTCAGCCCTAAACCCCAAAACTCAGAGCCAGCTAAGGATGGTTACAGTAAACTGGATGATTATGGGGATAAGGATGTTCCAACTTTTTGGAGTTTACGGTAGATGCGCAGAGTCTCTATAAAAGGATGGAAGTGGAGTGCATTGCAAGGGGAAGTTTTTGAGGCCGTTAGGGTTTGGGGTTTAGGGTGTATAGGGTTGGTGTCACTTAGGGTTTAGGGTTCAGGGTTGCTGCAGATTTACGTTTTAGGTTTAGGGTTTAGGGCTCTTCATGAAGCTCATGAGGATTCGCTTGCCAAGCAGCTACAAGCACGGATGCGAAGGGGAATGAGGTTCTGTCTGCTGCGAACAGCTTGCAGCCTTGTCGGAGTAGTCGGAGAAAGAGGGAGTACGATCATGAGTAGCAGCAGTAGCAGTCAGTAGCAGTCCCCATACCGATAGTCAAAGAGGGCTTCCAAGTAAGGGTGATATCTGGGGTATGTGAAGGAAACTACCTAGCATAACCCTAAACCCTAAACCCTAACATCGGGGCCTTAATTCGGGGCCTTAAAAATTTTAATAGGGGACCAGCACCTGGAAAGGTCGTCGACGACAACCATTTGATGACAGGCCTTCACAGCCGAGCTGAGTTTAGGGTTTAGGGTTTAGGGTTTAGGGTTTCGGGTTTAGGGTTTAGGGTTTAGGGTTTCGGGTTTAGGGTTTAGGGTTTAGGGTTTAGAGCTTCATACAGTCGTACCACGGTACCTTACCCGATCAAATTTGCACATCCTATATCCTGAACCCCCGCAGCCACAGACCCAGGACCTCGAAACCCGAGACCCCGAAACTCGAAAGGGTTTAGGTTTAGGGATCAGGGTACCCTAAACCCCTTATGTCTGTCTATTCTGTCTTGAGGGTGTATTGTCCTTTATGGAAGCCACTGGTTGTGTTTTCTCATAATTAAAGTTCCCTTTTTGGGTACCCGAAATAAGAGGGGCCGCCGTATCATAAGGACCCCAAAAAGGACCATATTTTGGAGAAGTGGCCTTTCAGGGTTGAGGGTTCACGGCTTGATGCTCATGAGCTCCACGAGTGCGTTGTGTGAGACCAGAAAGCAACAGCGCAACCCGTGGTAGGTTTAGGGTTTAGGGGTTTAAGGGCTTAGGGTTTAGGGTTTAGGGTGTGGCACCCCCGACACCCCTGCTTCCCTGAACACAGGATGTCCTGTGGGCCTGGCAGCCTGCTTAGGGCTTAGGGTTTCGGGTTCCCATCCGTGAGCATGAGTGCAACATCTATGCCCACCTCGGGTTCTAGAGGGGTTGGAATAAGTACTACGGAGTAATTGGCATTCCCTCATGACCTGCTATGTGGTTATACCATAAGGGCCCCCCCCAAAACCCTATCTAATTATTGAGGCCCCTACAGTAGGTAGCTTCCGTCACCTACCCCAGATATGACCCTTAGTATATACAATCCCACCGGGGAACTGATTCTACGAAGTTTAGGGTTTAGGTTTTGGTCTGGGGTTTTGGGTTGAGGGCTTAGGGCTGCGAATCGAACTTGACCCTCCTCATACGGCAGGCGACCATACTCGGCGCTTGACGCAATTCTTGGAACAGGATGGGATGGGTTAAGGGCTTAGGGCTTGGGGCTTGGGGCTTGGGGCTTGGGGCTTGGGGCTTGGGGCTTGGGGCTTGGGGCTTGGGGCTTGGGGCTTGGGGCTTGGGGCTTGGGTCTTGGGGCTTGGGGCTTGTTTGGTTCAGGGTTTATTTTTTAGGGCTTGGGGCTTGGTGCTTAGGGCTTAGGGTTTAGGGTTTAGAGCTTGTCCTTCGTTATCTTAGCCGTACCTGAAAGAGACAATCTCCTACAGTTTCTGCCCTAAGCCGCAAACCCTCCACCCTAAGCCTTAAACACTAAGGCCTGCCGAGTCTTAATCCTTCAGCCCTAATCCAAAGCCTTCCCAGCCCTAAACCTTAAACCCTAAACCCTGAATACTCTGAATCTCAAAAAAAATGCCTCCGGCACTGGGAATCCACAATCCTCAGCCTTGAATCCTCCCTAAACCCTAAACCCTAAACCCTAAACCCTAAACCCTAAACCCTAAACCCTAAACCCTAAACCCTAAACCCTAAACCCTAAACCCTAAACCCTAAACCCTAAACCCTAAACCCAAACCCTAAGCCCTAAACCCTAAAACCCTAAGCCCTAGCCCTAAACCCTAAACCCTAAACCCTAAACCCTAAACCCTAAACCCTAAGCCCTAAGCCCTAAGCCCTAAGCCCTAAACCCTAAACCCAAGAATATCTCCAAGACCTTCTGCCCGAAGCTCGGGGTTGTTGCGTTGAGGGTTGTAGGGGGTTAGGGGCCCGGCGCCCCAAACATCTCAAAGCCCCATAAGCCCTGAACCCTGAGCTCTAAACCCCAAACCCTAAACCCCTTAAATCCTAAACCCTAAACCCCTGAACCCCTAAACCCCCTAAATCCTGAACCCCAAAAGGAGAAGATCAAGATCACGGGCTACGCCCCGCCTGCGCTAGAGTACTTGGCCTGGGTCCCCTGTGACGCGGTTGCAGGACCATGGGGTTTAGGGTTTAGGGCTAGGGTTTAGGGATTAGGACCATGAGGCAGATTTTGTTAGGGTTTAGGGTTTAGGGTTTAGGGTTTAGGGTTTAGGGTTTATTAGGGTTTAGGGTTTAGGGTGTCAGTCGTGCGTCAGCCGGGCTGGGGAGCGGAGACAAGAAAGCTATTGAAAAGTCCCTAAACCCTAACCCTAAACCCTAAACCCTAAACCCTAAACCCTAAACCCTAAACCCTAAACCCTAAACCCTAAACCCTAAACCCTAAACCCTAAACCCTAAACCCTAAACCCTAAACCCTACACCTAAACCCTAAACCCTAAACCCTAAACCCTAAACCCTAAACCCTAAACCCTAAACCCTAAACCCTAAACCCTAAACCCTAAACCCTAAACCCTAAACCCTAAACCCTAAACCCTAAACCCTAAACCCTAAACCCTAGGCCCTAACTACGTACTCATGTCTGTACTGTGGGCATCGGTCCGTTCCGGGGTCGTGAGCCCGACCTCCTCTAGGCTCCAAGCTCTTTAGGGTTTAGGGTTCAGGGTTTAGGGTTTAGGGTTAAGGTTTTAGCGTTTAGGGTTGAGGGTTGAGGGTTTAGGGTTTGGGGTTTAGGGTCTAGCCGCCAAAACCATTTCCCTTCCAACCCTGCTTGCCCTACGTAGTTACCTTACCCTCATTCCTAAAACCTAAACCCTTTATGCATGCTCTTTAAGCCCAACTGCGAACGGCGCCTATGGGAACAACTCTTTGAACGCCTCAAAGGCCCGATCGGGCTGTAGGGATCAACCATTCAGGCTTTGGGGTTTAGGGTTCAGGGTTTAGGGTTGAGGGTTGAGGGTTCAGGGTTTAGGGTTTAGGGGTTTAGGGTTTAGGGTTTGGAGGGAGGAGTTCCAGTGTTTGAGATACCAGGGATCCGAAGCCGCAAAGGCGACGACAACGATCCCAACAGCGAGCGCTGGATGAAGTGCCTGCTCTGCAGCAGCTTGCTTCGGCACTGGCGCCCTAAACCCTAAACCCTAAACCCTAAACCCTAAACCCTAAACCCTAAACCCTAAACCCTAAACCCTAAACCCTAAACCCTAAACCCTAAACCCTAAACCCTAAACCTAACCCTAAACCCTAAACCCTAAACCCTAAACCCTAAACCCTAAACCCTAAACCCTAAACCCTAAACCCTAAACCCTAAACCCTAAACCCTAAACCCTAAACTAAACCCACTCTCTTCCCATGCTTCCCCCTTCCTGAAGCGTCAGTACAGCTTAGTTACTTATTGTTCGTAGTATGGAGCTAAACCCGATTTTCCCAGCGTAGAAGAAACACTGTAATACATTCTAGGACCACTCCGCTGCACTAAAAGCACTCGAAGATCACTCCAAGGGTTTAGGGTTCAGGGTTTAGGGTTTAGGGTTTTAGAGTTTAGGGTTTCAGAGCATGTCAAGCTGCCAAAATCAACGACGACCCTTCTGCACTTGACGTTGAGAATGCGCGCGGGACCGAGGGTGTCCCCGTTTGAATTTACGGGCCCATGCCAGAAGGACCATGAAACAACCCTTAGAGTTTAGGGGTTTGGGTTTAGGGTCTAGGGAACCCATAGTGGTGGCACACTTCTTGCAGAATTTCCAACATAGGGCTACCCAAATTGACTAGCATCCCCCAAAAAGGGACCTCCGACTCCAATTTTCGGAAGAGAGGCTTAGGGTTTAGGGTTTAGGGTTTAGGGTTTAGGGTTTAGGGTTTAGGGCTTAGGGCTTAGGGCCCTACACCCTAAAGGATGTGTGCAAGGGTGGGGAGTTGCAGGGGATCGTAAGGAGTCTGGGCTTAGGCGAGCTTCGGGGCTTTGGACTTGCTTGGCCCAAGGATCAACCCTAAACCGTAAGCCCTAAGTCCTAAACTTGTACGTGCGGTTGTTTAGTTTGTTTTTCTGGAGCCTGCCAGTCTGTGAGTGCCCCGATTGTCTTTCGAGGCTCCCAAGTGTGTTCTAAGCTGAAACAATACACATACAGCCTACCCTAAACCCTAAGCCCCAAGCCCGAAGCCCGAAGCCCTAAACCCGAAACCCTAAACCCTAAACCCTAAACCCTAAACTTGTTTTCACAGCTCAGGCAAATGGGTGCAGGATGAGACGAGCCACTCGGGCACGCCAAGCAAGCCAGAAGGCTCCAAGGAGCACCAAAAGAACCTGAGGACTGCTCTGGAAGGGGTGCGGGGGCAGGGGGATGGGGTTTGGGGTTTAGGGTTTAGGGTTTAGGGTTTAGGGTTTAGGGTTTCGGGGTTTGGGGATGGGCTAGGGTTTAGGGTTTGGGGTTTGTTGTTTGGGGTTTAGGGGGGGGGGGGGGAGTTGCCCTAAACCCTTAACCATAAACCCTGTACCCTGAACCCTGGACCCTGGGCCCTAGACCATCCTCAACCCGAAGCCGTTTTGACTCCTCCACCCTTTCCGACTTGTCCTCCCCTTTTACAACTTGTCTCCTCCTTTTCACTCGTCCCCCCCCCCCCCCCCCCCCCACACTTCTCCTTCCTTTCAACAGGAGGAGCCCATCCCGTAGGAATCATTCCGCTGACTCTTCTCATTTTTGCCTGTTGCGGGACGAAAAAGCTAAAGAAGGTTTTAGGGGGTTGGGCTTCAGTTTCCGGATGGCGGCCATGAACCCTACCTAAACCCACTCCCAGAATTCCCCCCCCCCGGCCCCTACGGACCTTGGAATTATGAGGGTTCTGTAGGGGCTTTTGTATTGGGGCTAGTGGGGTTGGGAAGAAGGGTTTAGGGTTTAGGGCATTATATACCCTGTGAGGATTAAGGGCGCGCATGTCGGGCTCGGACTCAGAAAAGCGCGCGAGGAACTACGACTGGTACAAGGCCACGGTGGTCCAGCAACGCCAGAAGTACCATCCGGTGGCTTGGCGCACGAAAGCCCAAGCTTAGGCTCTTAGGGTTTAGGGTGGGTTTAGGGTTTAGGGTTTAGGGTTTAGGGTTTAGGGTTTAGGGTTTAGGGTTTAGGGTTTAGGGTTTAGGGTTTAGGGTTTAGGGTTTAGGGTTTAGGGTTTAGGGTTTAGGGTTTAGGGATGAGGCTTCGCGGAGCAACGTGAAACCAGCGAGTTAGTGGAAACCAACCTCCTGTGCGACTTCAGCCAATGCTTCCCTGTTCAACGAACCGGACGATCGGGTTTAGGATTTAGGGTTTAGGGTTTTAGGGTTTAGGGTCTAGGGTTTTAGGGTTTAAGGGTTTAAGGGTTTAGGGTGAGGGTGTATTGTAGGTTTCAGTCACAAGGGGCTGAGGGCTTTCGAGGTGACTGCGACTCCAAGATTGTCGACATGGTACTTCACATCTTCTTAAAAAGGGTTCTGAGGTATGGGCCCTTGAGTCCTGGGGTATGTAGGGGTTATGTAAGGAGTCTCCTCTTAAGGCCCAGAATGAGGGACCATGTAACTACCCTTAAAGTTAAAGGGTTCTGAAGTATGGGCCCTTGGGTTTAGAAAAGAATGTAAGGCAAGTATATATGGGTTCCCCAATGTCAGGGACCATGTAATAACTACCGCAAACCCTAAACCCTCAGCCTCCCTTAATCGGCTTTGAGGTGGGTTAAGGTATCTGCGCTCCCAGACGAAGGGCCCGGTACTCAGGGCCCTTGTTGTGACCCCCCTAAACTTTACCCTAAACCTTAAACCCTAAACCCAAAACCCAAAACCCTAGACCCAAAACCCAAACTCTAAACCCTAAACCCTACTAAGCCCGATTTACTAGTCTGTCATGCACCGGGGCCTTGGCGGTCGATGCAGCCTACAACCTGGATTAGGGTTTAGGGCTTAAAGGGTTAGGATTTCAAGTGTAAAGGGTAAAAGGGTTTAGGGTTTAGGGTTTAGGGTTGAAGGCATCGGCAGTCTGAGATTGCGGTGAGGGGCCCTGAGCTTTCAAAGGGAGTCTTCGTGTCCTTAAGGCTCTAAACCCTGTAAACCCTGTAAACCCCAAACCCCAAACCCCAAACCCCAAACCCCAAACCCCAAACCCCAAACCCCAAGCCCCAAACCCTAAACCCTAAACCCTAAACCCTAGACCCTAAACTTTCCTCAGGTGGGAGCCGTGTCCAAGGCCGGGCCAAAGGCGCCAGCGAAGGTCCCACCTCCGCCGCCGCCCACCGATGCCCGTTTCCTGGCGCCACGCGAGTTAGGGTTTAGGGTTTAGGGTTTAGGGTTTAGGGTTTAGGGTTTAGGGTTTAGGGTTTGGAGCTTAGGGCTTAGGGTTCAGGATCACCCCGCCTCCCCCTCCCCCTGTTTAGGGTTCGTAGGGTTCATAGGGGTTATGGGGTTTGCAGGGTTTATAGCGTTGATGGGGTTTAGTAGGGTTTAGGGTTTATAGGTCTTAGGGTTTTGAGGTGAAAGGGTTCATTGAGGGTTCAGAGGGTTTGCGTGGGTAGGCTTGGGGGCTTACAGAGTTGAGGGTTTAGGGTGTACATGCTTGCAGGGGTTCGTGGTCGTTGAGCGTTGAAGCGTGCATGGGTTGCGTAATGTTGCCAATATAGCTTTCGAGTGCTGAGGCGTGTCCGCGGCAGAAGACAAAGATTCTCGCATGTACGTACAAGTGAATGTGTTCAATGTAAAAATGTATGTATGTTTGTATGTGTTTTTGGTTTGTTTGTGTGTTTGTTTGAGTGTTTGTCTTTTTGTTGTCGTTGTCCTAGCGATTGTTGTTCCATGTGAAAATCCGTGGCCAATTGCGCCCTAAAGTCTGCGGGCCCGTACTCTCACAATGACATAAAGAAGGACACGCACAATACACGTGTATGTATGTACTTAAAAAGCAATATGTGTGTACATATACCTGAGCCCCCACACACACATCATAAGCCCACTACCGGAATCCTACATCAGCATATTTATACGCGTATATATATATATATATAGATAAGTATATAGTTTTATTTATACTTATATTTGTATTCATACTTATTTAAATTGTTTTGTTTAATTGTGTGTTTGTCTTTTATTTGTTTTTAATCATCCATTTAATGCTTATGTGTGTATCTTTATATGTACATGTACCTGTATTCGCAAAGGTATATGTATATTTATAATCATATATACGTGTTTTTGTGTACTCCTAAACCCTAAACCCTAAACCCTAAACCCTAAGCCCTAAGCCCTAAGCCCTAAGCCCTAAGCCCTAAGCCCTAAGCCCTAAGCCCTAAGCCCTAAACCCTAAACCCTAAACCCTAAACCCTAAACCCTAAACCCTAACCCCTAAACCCTAAACCCCTAAACCCTAAACCGAGGCCCGAAGCCAACGCCAGCTCCTTGGGGGCCGCCCATTACCAAGGCGCCACCCGCAAAGCAGCCGCCACCCTCCAGGCCGCTTCTAGGACGCCTTGGGGGTTTAGGGTTTACGGTTTACGGTTTAGGGTTAGGATGTTGGGGTTCATGGTTAAGCTTTTTTTGGGGGGGGTTTAGAGGGCGGGTGGGAGGGGGGGGGGGGGGGGGTTGGGGTACCCCTAAGCCCTACTCCCTAAACCCACCGGTTTAGGACTTCCTGTTTTGGAAATCCCATGAAAACACCAACAACGTTTGCTTTCTTTACTCTAAGCCCTCAAGCGTAACCCTAAACCCTTCAACCTGAAGCTCAAGACCCCAAGCGCCTTTAATCCAGCAGCCCTGAGGCCCTCAACCTCCAAACCTCTCAACCTCTCAACCTCTCAACCTCTCCACTCCTCAGCCCCTCAACCCCTCAACCCGTCAAGCCCTGAACCCTAAACCCTGAACCCTAAACCCTAAAACCCTCAACCTCTAAACCTCGAAGCCTAGCGGACCGAGATTCCTGGACCCGGAGCCGGACGACGATGACGTGGAGGAGTGCTGAGTGCTGAGACCTCCCCCACAAGTCAGGGGCCCCCTTACTAGGGGTTTAGGGTTTAGGGTCTAGGGTCTAAGGTTTAGGGTTTAGGGTTCAGGGTTTAGGGGTTTAGGGTTTAGGGCTTGGTGGTTTCCGATATTAGGAGGTACCTTATTGGGGCCTTTGTTATAAGGGAATCCTCCTATTTAGAGCTTGTTTTCGAGATCCCCTATTTTCGTAAACCCCCACATGAAGTTCAGCTAAGGACATGTAAGTTAGAAAGGCTTGTAGCCCAAACCTGAGATAGTCTAGGGTTCAGGGTATAGTATAGGGTTTAGGGTGTAGGGTTTCGGGTTTAGGGTGTAGGGTTGAGGGGTTAGGGTTTAGGGTCAGGGCTTAGGGCCCTTTCCACTCTACTTGTGATATGGAGGGCCCTGGCTTGTAGCTCACAGAGTTTCAAGGGAGGCCCCAAGAAGGAACCGCCCTGGTGCTTGTGGATTAGCGAAGAAGCCGTTTAGGACATGTTGGGTTTAGGGTTTAGGGTTTAGGATTTAGTAAGGTTTAGGGTTTAGGGTTTCGGGATAAGGAGGAAATATGTCCTGGGGTCCCTTCGTGCCCTTCTTCTGGGGGTTCCTTGCTGGGGGGGGCCTCCCCACTTGAGATTCCATGGCTTGAGGTGTTGTGGGAAGTTAGGGGTGCTGGCTGTGGGCCTTAGGTCATGGTGTAGTTCTGGGTTTAGGGTTCGGGGTTTAGGGTTTAGGGTGTAGGGTTTAGGTTAGGGATTTAGGGATTTAGGGATCAGGAGTGGGTTTGCGGGGGTTCAGGTGCAGCTTCGGGAGTTTACCGGGCAATCGACGTCCGTGTGTCGGACGCCGTCTAGATGAAGCCAAAGGCGATGGCGCACCAGACTGCCACGCCTTGAATCGCCCAAGTTCAGAGTAGCCCCTTTGTCGCATCATACCAGCCGCCAGATGGAGAAAAAGCAAGCTTCTGTGAGTCTAGACGGGCCAACCCTTGAATCATGGACGTAGTATCACGATGTACCCCCACGCCCTAAACCCTACATCCCTGAACATGGAAATTCTTGCCTAGTTGTAAGTGCGGGTTTCCCTCAACCCTAAACCCTAAACTTGACCCTAACCCCTAAACCCCAAACCCTGCATCCTAACCCTAAACCCTAAACCCTGAACGCCTGAGCCTCAGGCTCGGAACCTAGTGCACATATCACATGGGATCGGCCCGCAGCGGCCACGAGTTCTTGTGGCTGAGCCCACGATCTCGGCCCGAAGAACTCTCAGCCCTGAACCCTCACAGTTTAGGGTTTAGGGCTTGGGGTTTAGGGTTTAGGGTTTAGGGTTTAGGGTTTAGGGTTTAGGGTTTAGGGTTTAGGGTTTAGGGCGTTCGGCCCGAAACCCCAGTCCCTCAGCTCTAAACTCTCAGCCAAGGCGCGACATCACTGCCGTGCAGGCACTGGACACTCCCAATGGTGAGGCCCGGGTCTCTGAGGTGTTAATTACTAGGATGCCCAGTAGTGGGGTTTAGGGTTTAGGGTTTAGGGTTAGGGTTTAGGGTTTAGGGTTTAGGGTTTTGTACTTGGATGCCCATTATTGCCCTTATTCCCTTTTCGGGGGGCTTGGTGCCCCCCATAAACCCCCTTAAGAAAAAAGGGCACCCTAGGTCACTGGGCAACCTAGTGATTAAGGTTTAGGGTTTAGGGTTTAGGGTTTAGGGTTTAGGGTTTAGGGTTTAGGGTTTAGGGTCTAGGGTTTAGGGTTTAGGGCTTAGGGTTTAGGGTTTAGGGTTTCGGGTTTGGGGTTTAGGGGCCCTGAACCCTAAAACCCCCCAATCTTGAACCATGCAGAGGGTACAGTCCTTTGGCTGTTACTCGGTTATCCTAAACCCCAAACCCCAAACAGAGGGATCCTGACAGTACCTGTCAACTTGCTGAGTTTCAAGGTGGGATGCTCCAAGTGAATAATCCACCGCACCTTAAGCCCTAGACCCTAAACCCTAAACTAGGACCCTTAGTAGACCCCCCTTGTTCCCTATTTCTTCAGATTTCGGCTCCCTTATAAGCCCCTTTAAACCAACAAGGGTAGCCTTTTGATGCCTAGGTTACTCTTGGGGCTTGGTATCTTAGGGTAGTTACATGGTCCCTTAGTATGGGCCCTTAAAAGGGTACCCCTTACATACCCCTTATATACCCTATACAACCCAAGGGCCCAGAACACTTTAAAGCAGGTAAGGGACCATATTAAGGGCCCATGAAACTACCCCAAACCCTCATCTCTAAATCCCTAAACCCTAAACCCTAAACCCTCAACCCTCAACCCTCAACCCTAAACCCTGCAAAGGGTCTAGGGTTGCATTCTCGATCCTGACCCGGCAGATATCTTTGTGGTGCTTTACTGTAACTTTACATCTTTAGCCTTCTTGGGTTATTGGGTTTCTTAATAAAGGCAGCTAAAAGTTCAATTTTTAGCCACCCTCCTAAGTGCAGCCAAGATATGCCTCATCATCGACTACAAGGTCGGTGATCGTGCCGCGCCTTGGCGGCAAAGTGTTTTGGTTTAGGGGTTTAGGGGCTTAGGGGTTTAGGGTTTCGGAGTTTAGGGGTTTAGGGGTTTAGGGGCTTAGGGGTTTAGGGTTTAGGGGTTTAGGAGTTTAGGAGTTTAGGGGTTTAGGGGTTTAGGGGTTTAGGGGTTTAGGGTTTAGGGGTTTAGGGGTTTAGGGGTTTAGGGGTTTAGGGGTTTAGGGGTTTAGGGGTTTAGGAGTTTAGGGGTTTAGGGGTTTAGGGGTTTAGGGTTTAGGAGTTAGGAGTTTAGGAGTTTAGGGGTTTAGGAGTTTAGGGGTTTAGGGGTTTAGGAGTTTAGGGGTTCAGGGTTTAGAAGCCTCGCTGTGTATATTAGCCAAAGCCACTTTGAGGAACAGGGCTTTAAAGGGTGTGTGTGAGTGTTTGTGTGAGTGTGTGTGTGTGTGTGTGTGCAGCTTGCGCGTTAAGTGAACTGAGTTCAAGGTCTGTAGTTCTAAACCCTATGGGTGTAGGGTTTAGGGAAGCTTTAAAGTTCAGAATTGCCTCCGAAAGGCCGAAATAACCCTTTGTAGCCCAAAAGCCCTGAAGCTCTAAACCCACCCTAAACCCTAAACCCTCAACCCTCAACCCTAAACCCTAAACCCTAAACCCTACGTAAACCCTACACCCTATGTTTGAAAGGAGCTCCTCACTTTGCGCGCCAGCAACGCCCGGAGCCGGGAGGAGGGGTCTTAGGCTTTGAGGATTTCGGTCCCCATCAGATGCAGCGTTCAGGGTTTAGGGTTTAGGGCTTAAGTTTTAGGGTTTAGGGGTTTAGAGGGTTTAGGGTTTTGGTTTTAGGGTTGAGGGTTGAGGGTTTAGGGCTGGCTTCTTTGGCTCATGCCGTTCAAGAAGAGGAACAACAAACCCTAAGCCCTGCGCGCCCTAAGCCCGAGACCCTTAGGCCTCAACCCTGATGCCCCCTCCCTAAACCCTAAAGCCTAAAGCCTCAACCCTAAACCCGCTTCGTCCCCTTGAGGCCTCAACCCTCAGGCTGCGTTTAAGACAATATTGTTTGTCCGGAACGCATCTGTTTTGCAAAAGGGTTCAGGTTTTAGGGTGCAGAGTTTAGGGTTTAGGGATCTTGCTGGTTTCGGGAAGTGGACCTCACATGTCCGAATCGGGTTTGGGAATCCGAGAAGGGAGAGTCCGGCCGGGGGTGGGGGCGCGTGTGGGTGGGGGGGGGGGGGGGTTTGGGTTTTGGGTTTTGGGTTTAGGGTTTAGGGTTTGGGGTATGGAGTTGCTGCAGCACCCCTAGACTAGGGGTGATTAACCCGCAGGGGGCCTTGCAGGGATTGGAAGGGAAGGCCTACACCCTAAATCCTAAACCCTAAACCCTAAACCCTGAACCCTAAACCCCAAATCCTGAATCCTGAATCCGAAGCCCGACCCCTGAACCCCGAACCCGAAACCCCAAAGGCCTCAGCCCAGAACCCCAATCCCTAAAAAAGTAAGGCCCTGAAAGCCTTAAGGGAAGCCCATAAGGCCCCCGATTTCCTAAACCCTAAACCCTAAACCGCAAAGAGACAGGACTGGATCGTCTCCATCAAGACGATGCAGATGCCTGAACTGAAGGCTTAGATCTGACCTGGAGTCGCTCTTAAGCCTCCTAAACCCTAAACCCTAAGCCCTAAACCCTAAACCCTAACCCCCAAACCCTAAACCCTAAACCCTAAACCCTAAACCCTAAACCCTAAACCCTAAACCCTAAACCCTTAACCCTTAACCCTTAACCCTAAACCCTAAACCCTAAGCCCTAAGCCCTAGCCCTAAACCCGAGTGTAAGACATCTTCATTCAGGGGGCAAAAGAGTCTCTGGCCCCCGCGGCCTGTAAATGAACCGGCTCTCCACCGATGCCCCGCAGAAGGGAGGGAGCTAGGGCTGAAGGGCGTTAGAGAGGGAAGGGCCTAGCCCAAGGCGTATATAACGAAGGGCCTCAGGGTTTAGAGTTTAGGGTTCAGGCTTTAGGGCTAGGATCCTAAACCCTAAACCCTAAACCCTACACCCTAAACCCTAAACCCTAAACCCCAAACCCTAAAACCTAAACCTAAGCCCTAAACGCCCCCCAAAACTCAGCTGCCCGGGGGACTCCGCATCGAGCCTTCTCTCACCCCTCTCGACTCGAGGGGAAGGTGGTAGGTAGGAGGGCCATCAGCCGAAGAACCGGGACCTGATCCCTAAACCCCTAAAACCAGGGTTTAGGGTTTAGGGTTTAGGGTTGAGGGTTTAGGGTTTAGGGTTCAGGGTTCAGGGTTAGGGTTTAGGGTTTAGGGTTTAGGGTTTAGGGTTTAGGGTTTAGGGTTTAGGGTTTAGGGTTTAGGGTTGAGGGTTGAGGGTTGAGGGTTGAGGGTTGAGGGTTTAGGGTTTAGGGTTTAAACCCTAAACCTTAAGCCCCTGAGCCCTGAAACCAAAAACCTGAACCCCTAAGCCCTAGCCTAAACCCTAAACGCTGAA